ATGTACATCGACAAGTTACGTTATCTTCCTTAACAAGAATACTCAAATTTTTGCATTTCCAATTTCCTTAAAAAAAGTTACTTTTTGCTAACGAAATATAATGTCAAATCCTTCGTTTGTATGTATAATCTAACCGGTAGTCGTCAGTTGGTAGGTGGGAGGTTGTGGACGTAGTTGGGTCCGTTTCCGATTGATTGTTGATTTTTCATGGATTTTTTTTTGATTTTTTAAATTTCTATTTCGTGAGTTACACCGTCTACTAATGTATGTATAGGTGGTAATGAGAAACCAAAATGGCCATTTCTGGCCTAGCAACCGTCATCGGTCACCCATACACAACCCCAGGTGTGAATCGCCTGAGACCAGAAGACGGAGCCTTTGTTAATTAAGTGTAAAATTCCACCACTGAGTGACGAACCCGTTGTGCTGTAGCCCAGTCAGTGTGCTCCGCACTATCACAAGCGCTATTCTCACACACAACCAACACAGCGACGGACCCGGGACTCGTTTGTGGAGTGTTAAACCAAACTACCATGGAATCCCTGTTTGAATCGCTGTTGATCAATTAATGCGGTTTTGTGTGGCTAATAGGTCAGAAACGACCAGTTATCTTTATCGGTAGCCCATTATCTGTCATATTTCAGGCTACTGCCTATAGGGGCTGTAGATAGAGCTCCAAGGCGTAGCGGAACAAGCACCAGTAACCTGGTCGGTTAGCTCTACACTACCATAACAAACACACATGCATGACAATCGAGTTTCGTATATCTTGCTCTGTTTATTATCTTCCAGAAAAGACGCGGAAGCGAAGTAACGAGTTAAAATAACTGGATTACGTTCGTACAGGTGAGGTATGCAGTCATACCGACTGCCCGTTGGATTAAGTGTTGGAATTCCAGAGCGGGACATGGCCATCATGTGTATCAAAATTGTGAGAATCAAAAACCGATCAAATTCCAAGAAACGGCATGGGGTAGTGCATCGTATGCTCTGCCAAGACCGCCTTTGTCTGACACAGGTTCGATTAAAAGCATGCTAAATTCACGCATAATTGAACATTCTTGACTGTGCTATAGGGTGAAGAATCATCACAAGTGATTGCGCATACCTTCGCAAAAGGGGAATGTGGTCAGATTCGCAGCCGCCAAGAAAATTACTCATTCCAAAAGAAAGATATACTTGGAGTTGATTTCGTTCGACACTACGGATGAGAACTCAGTCAACCAACAAACCGATCTGCAGTTTGCATACAGAGCCGGTGTAGTCACCTTCAGATATGTGGCCCTGGTCGTTGATTTGTTAATGACTGGTACAGTTGCCATTTATCGTGATGTTGCGACCATCTCCGAAAATGTACTCCTATACGAGATCGAGAGTTCCGTGAAAATAAGCAAATGGTTCCGGTGCTCGATTAGTCTTCATCCTCATTATTGGACCGCGAACGTCCGCAGCCATTCAAGAACGACACATTTAAAAGACTGAGACAAGACCTCTTCAAGGTGAAAAACTCGGCGCCTCGGTGGGATTTGAACCCACGCAGTAAGGAGAAGGCTTTAGTACAGCCAACGCTCGTAGCTCATGTGGTTAGAGCGTTGGCTGTATTAAAGTCTTCTCCTTACTGCGTGGGTTCGAATCCCACAGAGGCGCCGGATTTTTCACAGTGGAGTCAAAATGAATTATTCAAAATCCGCCAAAGTACCTACGAACTCTTAATTGCTCGGCCAGGTTCTCGTAATTGATAATCTCCCGCATCCAGTGTGTTTAAATATCCAAAATTATGCAAACATTTTACCTTCTTGAGTAAAAAAACCTTGACCAATTAGTATTCACCTACATTAAGGACAGATCGGCGGTCAGCATTTTTTCCTTTTCCTGGTTTGGACTGGCGTTTGTGAAACAGTCAGTTGACAGATCACAGATCGTGGCAAGGAAGTGTTGCAGAAAAGCCTTTATTGTGGGGGGAGGAGGGTGCACAAAGTGCCTCCTAGGAAGTTGGGTAAGTCCCTGTCAGCGAGTTGGGGACAACAGCTCTCTCTACAGAAAGCTTACAGTTACACACGCATAAGGTGTCTAGTCGGTAGTGGTGTTGGGGGAAGTGGACGAGCGCACACGCAGTCCTATAGTGTGGGGAGTTTGATACTTGTGCCTAAAATGTGGGCTCGCCACCAAAATACCAGCATTCCATGTCACGCACATTGCGTCCCGGTTTCCGGACACGGCGCACGGCATTATTGTTCGGGTGGTAAATAGTAATGGCCTGCCTTCATACGACACGACCGATAACGACGTCTAGGTTGGGTACAGCGGCAACTTTCCCCACCATTTAACTTAGAAACGATCTCGGGATGAAATTTAAGCCCAAAATGCAAACAGGAAAAAGTGATGATGTTAACGCCCATTTGTGGAGGCATAGCTGCTGAAATGGGCTTGGGAAGCGGTCCTCCAATGTCCAATAAAATTCGGCCGTCTTATTTGCATGAAAAGGTACAGAGTCTTTCCTCTTCTCTCGGCACCTGTCACCGTTCCAGGGGTTGGACCTAACCGTGATAGATGCCACCGTGGCCATTTGACCAATAAAACTGAAATTAGATGGTAGTCAAAATGCGTTTCCCAGATGCCATATCAAAAGACGAGGAGGTGTTCATTGGTAGAGGTTATTTAGAGGTCTGGCGTTTCGAGTAGTTGTTTCGATTTCCCATCATCAGAGACGGGAAAGTCATGCGCGCAGCTCTCGTTACATGGCTCAATTTGTCAGATGCGTGACCCGTCATTGCTGTCGGTGTGGCCGTTGACAGAACAGTCGATAGACATCCAGGCTTCTTTTGACAGTCTTGCCGTATGATCATCACCTCGGCTCATAATCTCAACGGCGTCAAAGTTAAACATGTGTCCCATTTGGACAACATGGTATGCGACCACCGACTTTGGACCCAACCTTCGAGCGACCAACTTATGCTCAAGCATTCGCGTTTGCAGCCGTCGGCCGGTTTCTCCAATGTAGTTGCACCTTCCACATTTGCATTGAAGTCGGTAGACCACGGCCGACATCTCCTGCTTAGGGAACGGATCTTTTGGCCGCATCACTTGTTTGGGGATTGTTGAGTCATGCCTGTGCGCAACACCTATTCCGAGTAACGCGAGGGATCTAGCCACGACTTTGAAGCCCCTTTAATGTACGGAAGGATCCGCTACGAATTTGACTGACTGTGCCCTTCATTCCGTTTCTTTGGCTACCTTCGGCTCCGTTCAATCAATGCCCGCGGATAGCTGTTGGCTCTGAAGAGTTCTTGGACGAGCTTTATCTCATCCAGTTTAGTAGATGGCGTGCTGCAATGAGTTTCCATCCGTCGGTATAGCGTGCGGAGACAGCTTCGTTTGTGTCGTAGCGGGTGGCTGCAGTTGTAGCTGAGCATTTGCATCGTGTTCGCCGACGTTCTGACGACTGATGTCGCTAGTTTGCCTTCTGGTTGGCGGCAGACGAGAACATCCAAGAATTAGGGTTTGCCCCCTACTTCCTCTTCCGTCGTGAACTGTAGGCGGGATTGACTGAGTTCAGTATTTTCGTATAGAAGTTGAATTTATCCCGGTCGATGATTACAAGGGTGTCATCAATGTAGCGTGCACAAAACTTTGGTTTGTACTCCTCGAATAGTCGTCTATCGATTTTTTGTAGAACTGCCTCGGAAATGAGCCCGAAGATTGGTGGACCCATTGGAGAGCCCTTGATTTGCTCGTGCGTGATCCCTTTGAAGGTAAAGAATATCTTGAGGCAGTCCCCCATTAGTTCTATGAGATCCTGATATCTGGACTGGTCATCGCCCCCGTCGTGATTTTGATGTAGCAGGTCAGTGGGCATTTCGACCGCAAGGGCCTGAAGACGTGAAGAATGAGACGCCGTCAAAAGACACCATCCTCTCATTCGGTTCAATCGTGACTGCCCTTATTTTGTCAAGGAATTGGGTAGGAGGGTAGTTGGTAGCCTTGCGTCCGGTTTCTACAATTGTACCTACTGGCTTGATTTCAGTAGCCGTGATTACTTCCTCATTGTGTGTAAAATGTGAACGCGCAGAGGCCCTGTCATGGTTGACTTCCTTCGTAACTTCAACCGCCCCGAGGACGTGGTGCTGCAAGAATGTCTATATAGATTCATTGTATTGCACCCCCCCACACGGAAATCTTTAGTAAAAGTCGAGGGGCTAATTCTAGACGGATTACGATTTATGGCACTTCCCATTATAGCTCAAATCGCATGCCTAGCCGTGCTTACGTCCTCATTATGTGGTACAGTGAACGCGCAGACCGACTTGTCTGGATGACTTTCTTCTGGTGAACGCGCAGAGGCCCTGCCATGGTTGACTTCCTTCGTAACTTCAACCGCCCCGAGAACGTGGTGCTGCAAGAATGTCTATATAGATTCATTGTATTGCACCCCCCCACACGGAAATCCTTAGTAAAAGGCAACAGTTTTATTCTAGGCGGATTGCGATTTACCGTGCTTCTTATGATTCCCGTTGCATGCGAGCGCTGCCTTACCGGTACCTACTATCTGTAGCTTTATTGCGGTTGGCATTATGTCCGGGGGTGAATACGCAGACGCCCAGTTAGGATGAATTTCTTCTTCACTTCAACCCCCTCGTCAGTTGCCTGCGCGCACTGCCTTAAAAGCGTGTGCCGGGTTAGCATGCGGTTTTCCCTGTCGACTGAACTTCTTTTCCGATCCCTCACTTCGGAAGCTTCGTTTAGTCCGTTATCAGCGAGTCAGGCGGCCCATCTATTTGGCTACTGCGTCATCAAGTCCTTCGCACTTGGCCGCCGCAGCCCAGTCCATTGTCCACGGTTTAGAAGGGTAGGCCAGTAATGAAAATACAGATGCATTCACTATTGACACAAAAAGGGCTACCATACATTTAGCTTCCGTTGGGTTCTCTTGATTGCGTGCTTCGGTCTGGGTTGCCCATCGTTTAGGCTTTGTGTTGGGGTGACACTTCGTGCGCCTGCATTTAGCTAATATAATGGTTTATGTCATCAATGACCGACGCTTACCTTTGTGTCAGCTGCGCTTCGTCTTCCGCTGAACAAGTACGGTCAGCAACCGGGTAAGCGTCCGCTATATGCTTTAAGAATAATTCCCATGCTTGGGGCAAATTGCCTGCCTTGAGGCCATACCACAGGCGGTACTGGGCTTCGTCTACATGAGCCCAGATGTTCCTTCCCCGGATGGGACCGTGTTCACGTAATTTTTTCTTCAGCCTACTCCTGTAGGCTTCGATAGCGTTCGTGTTCCTTCGAGTGACTGGGTCGACAAAATTAACTGAATGATTGACCGTTAAATGTCGATATCCTTCATCCGCCACACGTGCATATCCTTTCCATTCATCAGTGACTATCACGCTGCCTGGCGCAATCCACTTTCTTATGACAGCCCTTAGGGACGGCCAGCTTCTATCATTTACTTGCTCGAACAGGGCTTTCTTTTTGGCCGAATCATACATGCCTAAAATGATGTGACAGTACACTGTTCACTTACCCATAATCCAATTCTGCTTCTTCAGTCGCCCCACATTGTATTTGCGTCGCGAAATCATCGTTTCGTCGACTTGGACTTCGATGTCGGGCCCACCGAGTTGACCTACTTCTTGTAGGAGGGCCTTTGTGCATACGTCTCGCCATATACCGTACCAGTCAACTGCGGTCTTCTTAGTTATTCCTACTATGGCTGCACATCTAGTCACCCCAGTGCCTTCAATGAAAGAAAGGCACGTTTTCATCGCTTTAGGCAGTGTCAAGTGCCTCCCGTCAAACACTGAGCCCACTCTCAGGGCTCTCTTATCTCCACATCGGGCGCATCTACGGTCTGTATACCACAGTAAACAGACCTTACCTAAAGGCATAACCATCCGTGTGTTGTCGCAATACTTGTAACGGCATGGCCTTCCGGCACCTACATAAGACCCTACGGGTCAGGAGCCCTTTCCGTTGCAGATATTGCACTAGGTAGGGCGACTGGATTATTTCAAGAATCCGTCCATAATCCGTCGGCATATTCACTTGTGGTCGTGCTTTTCGTCGCCTTCTACCAGACTGGGCTCTGCAAGACAGACGAAAGCGGAATTTTTTTTACAAAAAGTGCTATTTCCTGTTTACATTTAATTCCATACCGTTCACGTACAGAGCACAACTACTGCCACAGTTTTATTCCCCATATGTTACCACAGTGGCACTAAACTATTACTTTCAACGTTGCTCATCCAACCAAATATACTTTTTTCACATTAAATACTCACTCCACTTGCGTTGTTCCGTCGTGTGGGTCGCAACTTGACACATGTGCTCCTGTGTCCATTTCGATGGTTATCGTAATATCGCACATTCGCGGACTGGCCTTAGTACACACTTCCTTATTCCTATTGGTTGGAAACTTTCCCTTGGCATTCTTTCCTATCCGGGGCAAGGCTGCATTTATTCCGCATACCGTTTTATTTATCCGTGCCCATTTACAAACCTTCCCTGCATTTTTCATCTTATTTAAATCAGGCTTCCACTACCCTTGAGGTTTCATTTTTAGATGTGTACTGCTTGCCTCATTTTTGCCTCCACTCACAGGCCCCACCCGTATAGCCCCTATTACCACCGGTCCCGTAAGACAGGCAGCTGGCGGTTTACCGTACTGCGAGGGCTACCTTGTATCCTCTTACCAGGAATTGTTCTGTTGAGTGCACTGTTTTTTGTGAGCCTGCACTTAAGAATCTTAGCTTCTGAAATAGCCAGTTTGCAAGCCCATATGTGAGTGTGCCTCGGAGTGAGACGATTGGACGGAGGGGAACATCTGGCTTGTGTACTTTTGAGAGACCTTAGAATCTCGCTATAGCAGTTTCTGTGGGCATTGCCATTTACCATATGATGACCTTGTCCTCCTTTGGTCGAGCCAGATTTCTGTTAACTTTTGTGACTAGGGACTTTAGACTGGCGACATCGCAGACTTTGTAGGACTCACGATCGTTGAGGAGCATGAGGGCTTTGTGTCGGAAGTCTACCCTGTCAAGGGTAACGGTTGACCGGCCTTTGTCAGCAGGCAGAATAACTATTTCGGTGTACGCTTTCAGCTCCCTTAGGGCCTTTCGTTCATCTCTTTGCAGGGAATGGGTTTTCCGGTGCGACACGAGAAGTGGGGAGACTTGATGTCGAAGAAGGTCCTTTGCCTAGTCTCTGGCACCGGTTTGACGAAACACCTATTCGAACAAGCAATGGGGATGACCGGGTCGGCGTCAGTTGTGTTAAAACCAGATCCACGTTGTAGAACTTTTGTTTGGGTCTCGGTAAGTTGTTTTCACGAGAGGTTAGGTACTAAGATTCATTCAGCTTCCTGGGCTTGTGCGGTCTGCAGTGCAATGAACTTTTCTCTTAAGTCAGCATCTCTGTTAGCACGTCTTTTTCGTCCTAATGCTACTAAGGTGTTCTCAAATGTGGTGACAGTTGATTCACCCCAGCGGCGTGTAACAAACATCCTGAAGTTTTCGGCACTGTGTGCGTATTTCTTTAGTCGCAGCTGACCATTTTGTATGCGTACCCTTGTCATTCGCCGTCTATGGAAGAACATCGTTTGTTTAGCCAATTCCGAGTTGAGTGGAGGCTTGTAGGAGAGGCATTTTGGCAAAACATAGTTGGCAAGTGATGTGGCCAAAATATCCGATCCCAAAGCAGGGGATGTCGGCCGTTGTCTACCGACTTCAATGCAGCTGCGAGCTGTGCAACTACGTTCTAGAAACCGGTCGACGGCTGCAAACGCGAATGCATGAGCATAAGTTGGCCGTGCAAATGTTGGACCCAAAGTCAGAGGTTGCAACTCATGCCGCGCAAATGGGACACATCTAAAACTTTGACGCCGTCGAAATTGTGGGCCGGGGCGGTGATCATACAGCAAGGCAAGTGCAAGAAGCCTGAATGTCCACCGACTGCTCTGTCAACCGTCTCATCAATTTGCCTCCCCCCTATCTGACTTTACTAACCTTCTTAACGGGGGACAGCCGCGGCGCGGGACAATCGGGGCCGTCATGGGCCGATGGGGGGCGCGGGGGCGATCGAGGTCACGGCGACATGAGGGTTGGATGCAGCCACAAAGGTGTCATTGGCGGGTCACGCATTGAACAAAGTGCGTCATATAAGACGAGCTGTGCGCAGGACTTTCCAGTCTCTGAAGATGGGTAGACGAATGAACGACTCAAAACGTCGGACCTCCAATAAACCCCTCCTGGTAATCGGTATAACAACGGAGCCTAAGTAATCTTTTTTAATCGAAAACGTATTCCAGAATTTTGACCAAATTTCATGAGGTCTGTTACAAGATCTCTCACTTTATATGTTTAAGGCTGCTCATTCGTGACCGGATATCTGCATAGCCACTGGCACGCACAAATTTGAGTAGCTCACATGCGACAGAATCGGTCGATAAGTATCATAATTGCAAGTCGACTCTCTGTAGTCTTATCAGCATTTCCAATCCTATCTATTTCTCCTTTCAGCTTTCTCCGGCGTCGGTTTGACGCTACCACTGTTTGTAGACTGTATGCAATCGCTAGACATGATCATAACTGCACGAGTTCCTTAACATTTTCGATGTAATTATTGGCTTCGAAAAAACGTCCCTATTAGTGGGCGGTAACAACGTAAATGTGGATAACTCGGGGATAGTCTTGGCGGCTCGAGGAGACGGGCGAGATTTCACTTAGCCAAATTTATGCTTACGCCTAGGGCAAAGCACTTAAATATTAACACAGTGCGATTTTTGGCTGATGCGCGTTTATTTACTTGATGTATTCCTTTACCAAGAGCTGTTCATTCGGCGGTCATCGCTAATGACCTCAACTACTTGGCAGGATACGCCCAATAGGCGCTATCGTCGAATTTTACGAATCCAGAAAAATGACTATGTGGGTTAACAACTTTATGGGAGAACGTTTACCATTTCATTTGTTGTCTCCTAAAATCTATGCTGGTAGTGCACAAGAATTCTGCGTTTTTAAGTTTCGTGAAATGAAGAGAAAGCGACCAAGTAAAATTAGTACAAAAGGAAAATAACGCATCGTCTATTATTACATAAAACTAACCACACATGTTATGTGTCTTCAAATAGCCTTTGCGTTACTGAAGGCAGATAGACATGTTTGGTCTAAAAACGTCAGAATAGAGGACAACGAGAACAATTAAGTAAAACGTGACAGATTTTTGAAGAGCACAAACCGTACAAATAATTTTTAACAAGTCAAACTCTGGGTCCCCCAGTGACGGTGGTAAAAAAACAGAATTTTTCGGAAGAAATAATTAGAACCAGTTAAGATTTAGCTGCTACTGCAGATGGTTGTGAGATACAATAGTCAGTGGTCTACGCTACGGCACATCGCTCGTGGGATT